GAATATAAATGCAATAAACATCGTAAACAAACCGATAACAACAATGGTAATATTGATAAAATTGGTAAAGTGGTAAAATTTTATTCAAGCTTGCAACTCAATTTACCAACGATAAATGCAACAAACATAGTAAACAAACCGATAGCAACAATGGTAAAATTGGTAAAATGGTAAAATTGGTAAAATGGTAAAATTTTATTCACTTTTGACACTCTCTCTTTATAGACGTTTCCCTTCTCGTTACCGAATATAAATGCAATTTACCAACGAAAAATGGCAACAAATATTGTAAACAAACCGATACCAACAATGGTAATATTGGTAATTGGTAAAATGATAAAATTGTTAAAATTTTATTCGCGATAAACGAATAGAAATGTTACGTTCACTTAAAAATTCCCATCGATGGATTTTAATCCACAAATTTATAACTATAAACCTAAAAGGACGAACGAAATGAAAATTTTTGTTAGTTAATATGATATTATTTGCACTAAATCAGCCCCAAAGTAAAGGAAAACCAGGGTGGAGTCTCAATTTGCTCAAAGCGATTCATCAGCATCCCCACCACTTTTTTTTCTCTTGGTTCGGATAGTACATTATCGGCCCAAGCACACGGAATCGAATAAAGCTGATTTCTAAATGATTCTCGCGTTTAATAAAATTGTGTATTTAAAGATTCCGTGGAATATTACTGTACAAGAACAATGAAGAATATAGGAAATCGGAAAAGACCATTTTGTTGTATTTTTAATTTCTTGAAATTGCAATAACCCTTTTCCAATCATTCCAAATGGGAAATATACGATTTTGGGGGCTGTTTCGTGGCCTGGGAAGGGAAGGGGAGAAATTGAGACAAAAATTTTGTCAGGATCGAGGATCTCTGGATGAGAACGAGCCAAAGGTGCGCAGGTTCGCCCACGTTGGCTCTCGCTGGTCCAAATACGATCCGGATTATACTCGATCAGACTGTTCCAATCGTGGAACTCTTTCCTGACAATACTATTCTCAATAAAATACAGATTTTGAAATTTCCCGCTTCTAATGTTCCAAGGATTAAATTGCATAGGGACATCTCAACCTATCTACGATTAATGAATATTTATTTTATTATTAAACAATTTTCTCTCTCGAAGCCCCTATTGAAAATGACATTTCATTTCCATAGCTTGCTTGCACGTCAGTATTTATTTTATTTAGACAACCTCGTTTTATGTACCTTCTCGTTAACGCTTTGTCGTTATAAAATTATTATGTTGGATCAAATGGAAGTAATTAGACATCTTTTAACAATATTTAGACAATTGCAAATCGAATTTTATTACACTACAACGATCTCTGATCCTTTTAAGTTTATCCCCCAAAAAATTAAGATGGTATCTTCCGACGATACAAAATATCTTTCAATAACGCAACGTTATGTGAGATAATATTCCACAAAAACATCGAAATCGTTTGTAATGCAACACTTTACAATGTATCCCATCGTATTTTATACCAAGAATTTATTTCATTCCTGCAGGTGTTCCATCATGGCCGCTTAAATATTTTATTACTTGTTCCTACGCGTTCCTCATTACATTTTTTAAATTCTGCAGCAGTTATACACGGCGCGATTAATTTCAATTTTAAATTTCGCGCCAACAACCGCAGCAAATTGCAACCAAACGGCCAGCAATCAAAACAATAACACAATACGTTTACTGCTGGGGGGAAAAAATCGTTCGACGAACGAGAGTTCCACGGTTGAAAATTAAAATCGTAGATAATTGCAATTTAATTTAAAACGTGATAAAAGAGGTAAAGGAACGAGCAATGAAATGTTCGCGACGGAACGCCTGCTGGAATAAAATAAATTCTTAACGCAAAGCATGAATTTTCAATTGCCATAATTTCATAGAAGAATCTATGTAAATTTTTTTACTCGATTATTTAACTAACAATTAATGTGGGCCAAAGTTACTCGATGAAATAGAATCGTTGCCACGACTGAATAATTCTGTTGCAATTTTATTTAACCGACAATTCCCTTGACAAACTTTTTACTCGATTATTTAGCCACAGAAACAATTTATGTGGGCCAAAGTTACTCGATGAAATAGAATCGTTGCCACTCCTGAATAATTCTGTTAAAATTTATTTAACCGACAATTCCCTCGACAAACTTAACAAACGACTCTGTGACGTTACGAACGAGAGGATCTCGAGTTTCCCCGTCCAATTTGGAATTCTAATCGACGATCTTCGGGGCACTGTCGTCGAAACTGGTATTATTTCACGGTTTCTTACGGTGTGTATTGTCCCCGGACAATAAATATCTATCTATATTTCCCTTTCTATCGCCGAAAGCGACGCAGCCCGCGTCGTTTCGAAAGAGTTACACGCCTGGCCGGCCGCGGAAGACCGGAACTTATTCGTATCGGCCGCCTCGCGATACGTTATCGCGCGCGCAACCGGGTACTCTTTGTTTCGTATCCGTTTAAAAGGACTGTCCCCTTTGGCTCGACGTTTCCCAAACTCCTTCTGACCCGGCCACACCGACCGAACGATCTCTTTCAGCGGTCAAAATACAATAACGAGTCGCCATTGTTATTTGCTTTCGTCAAATACATCGATGGAAATTAATTGGGATCGGAAAACAATGGCGTCGATCGGCGTATAAGGAATGTAAAACACAGAGATTACTTTTTTCTTTAATTTGGTATCTTAGAAGTTCGTTTTGTTTTTCTTAAATTTTGTTACTATTTTTTAAATATACCCTCGATGAATATTAAGAACAGTTCGATTAGTTAAAATCAAATAGAATAGTTTTCATACTAAATTTGAATCCTACTGAATATGTAGCAAGATTAATAGAGATGTATTGTGCAAAGTTCGTGAGTTGCCAACGGGTGCAACTTACGACCTGTGCACAGTATACAATTAAATAAAATTCTCTTGTTCTTTCTACTCTATTATGGTGATTTCAATGCTTTCTATGCTACTGGATACGCAGTAAACCTAATATAGATCTACTATGCAAAGATTGTGAGTTGCCAACGAGTACAATTTACGATCTCTGCACACTATAAAACTAAATAAAATTCCCTAGAGCTTTTTACTCTATTACAATGATTTCAATGCTTCGAATTCTACTTAAAGCGCGTTGAAACCCATATAAACCTACTATGCAAAGCTCGTAAGTTGTCAACGAGTACAATTTACGACCTCTACACACTATAAAACTAAATAAAATTCCCCTAGGGCTTTCTACTCTATTACAGTGATTTCAATGCATCGAATTCTACTCAGAACGCAGTGAACCCCATATAAATCTACTATGCAAAGCTCCTAAGATGCCAACGAGTACAACTTATGATCTCTGCACACTATAAAACTAAATAAAATTCCCTAGTGAGTTGCCAACTGGTACAATTTACAATCTCTGCGCGCTATAAAACCATTAATAGATTGATTCTCGGTAATATTTTCGGCTGCATACGCGAGAAATACATAGTTTCTCGCGAGCAAAAGCGAAGGTTCCGCGTCGAGGAAACCTACGTGCGGATAAACGAGTTCGCGGCTAACTGTAAATCGAACGAGCGGCGGTTTGGCGGGCGATTCGACGCGTATCGCGTAACTCGTGGTTCCTACGGGAAATGGCCGTTCAGATAAAGGGAACAGCTAGAGAAAGAATGGCGGTGCCGGCATGCTTCGATGTATCGCGATAAACGTAGAAGCTATCGTTCAACGCTCGATGTCTGTTTTCATGAGCCTCCATTCTGTGCTCCTCCATCCGTGCTCGCAATCGCGATCGAAAATGCTTTATCTCTACTGGCAATGGAAGGTATAAAACTTTGCAATTAAAACGGATTTTAAATTTAAGTTACGGAAGATATACGAATACGGGATTCTAATTGGAAGGGAATTGTCTCTACGGTGGAGTCTAGGTTTGTTCAAAACGATCACCCCCACCACTTATTTTTTTCTTAGTTCGGATAGTACATTGTCGGTCCAAGCGCACAGGATCGAATAAGGCTGATTCACAAATTGCAAGATAAAAAATTCTAAGTAAAAACCCCAAATTTGAGACAAGGAACGATCAGGAATGATCTTTCAACTATAGTGATCAGAATCGAAAAGCTAAGGTGTCAAGCTTCATATAGTATGTTTTTGAACTTAATGTGCTCTAAACTAAGGGAAAATCACGGTGGAGTATAGGTTTGTTCGAAACTATCCCCCCACCACTTATTTTTTTCTTAGTTCGGATAGTACATTATCGGTCCAAGCGCACAGGATCGAATAAGGCTGATTCACAAATTGCAAGTTGAAAGATTATGAGTAAAAACCCTAAATTTGAGACAAGGAACGATCAGGAATGATCTTTCAACTATAGTGATCAAAATCGAAAAGTTAAGGTGTCAAGCTTAATATGGAATGTTTGAGCACTTAATGTGCCCCAAACTACGGGAAAATTACGGTGGAGTTTCGGTTTGTTCGAAACGATCCCCCCCACCACTTATATTTTTCTTAGTTCGGATAGTACATTATCGGTTCAAGCGCAGAGGATCGAGTGAAGTTGATTCACAAATGATTCCCGCGTTCGATGAAATTGCAAGTTGATAGATTCTGAGTAAAATTATGCCAAGCTTAATTCTGGGGCACCAAACAGTCTAGCTCGGATCTCACGTTCGATCGAAAGAGCAGACCTCGTGTTTTTTATGGCGATTCGCGGTTTTTCGAAAATTCCCCGGGATTACGAAGAACGGTAACCGTGGGCTGTACGATTCTCGCTTACCGCCATCGCCATTAACCTTATCGTCGCGTTAACTCGCGGCGATATAAGCGCGAAGATAACGGCCCGTATCCTTCCCGACGAACGGCTGGTAATCGCGACGACTCGCGTGTACTAATCGTTTATCGCCCGGCTGTCATGTAAAAGTCCGTCATCACCGAGACGGCCGGAAGCCCGTTGTTCCGGACACTGATTTTTCGCGGGGCAAAGTAAACCGTGTACTCACTCGTGATCACTCGTCGAAGCTCGACATCCTACCGTCCGCGATCAGGATCGAGTTCGAGTTCGAGTTCGAGTTCGAATTCGAATTCAGTCTGTCCAAGGATCCCACCGCCGTCCTCTCCGTGGTTTCCTCTGCTTCCACTGCGAATTCCTTCTTCTCTATCGCGCGTCTACTCCCGCGGTAGTCCTGCCCGCCTGAGTTCCAACGATCGCGTCACTGTGTCTCGCGCAAATCGCTTCCACTCGAGTTCGATCATCGGGTCGATCGTCGCGCGTCAAACACCCGCACTTGTCAGCTCCGCGGGTACCGCACCCGTCATTGTCGCGCGCACATTTCTGTCACTGCACCCCCGAGACCCCGACACCCGTGTTCGCAGCGACGTATCCCTGGGCACCTGGTGCGTCGATCGTGTACGGATCAGAGTCGTTGACGCGTGCGCGTGGACGCGATTCGTATCGCGAACATTCGAGAAACACTCGTGGAACTGGGCGAGAAACCCGCTGTGGCACGAGCAACGGTACGACCGAGCGAGACTACTTCCTGAACGCGGTGCAACCGTTGACTGCGGCTTCGAAACTGCCCTGGACAGTCACCTCTGGCGAGGCAGTCCGGGCCACGGGGCGGGGAGAGGGTCGATGGAGTCGCAGGGGGCGGAGGCGGCGGCGGAGGCGGAGGCAGAGGCGGGTAACCGACCCGAAACGAAGGGCGCCAGAGAGAGACGCGACGAACGTGCGCGCTGGCGGCGTGCCGGGTTCCAACTGGGGAGCAGCGGACGAAAGAGAGACAGCGAGCCGCGGCGCGCGAGAGGCGGCGATGCGCGCGACGCGGTCGCTGGGCGGTCCTAGGCGGCGCGAGGCGCGACGCGCCGGGCACCAGGTGGGCGTGACCTCGCCGCCCACGGCCGCGAAGGGCGCCGTGCGCGACCCGGGCAATTTTCATAAAATCTTTTTTCGCCTCTACCATACTCCCGAGCGGTCGGGGCCTCTCCCTACCACGGCGCGTTGTCGGGCCCTATAATGTCCGACCAGATCGGGCCCGGATAAGCCCGGTCCGCGGCGGGCCCCGGGATCGTACCTCTCCGATATCTTCGGAAATCCGCGTTGCACCGCGAGACTGACTTACGAACCTACGTAATTCTCTCCGCTTCTCTTTCCCTCCCTCCTTGCACGCCCTCTCCCGAATCTATTCGTCTTCTCGCGCGCCCCCGCGTCTGCCTCGGTTTTTGTTCCGTGAAAACGGTGGTGTTTCTTCGATGTTAGGTCTCTTAACCCTTTGTAAACTTGTCAATATTGTTGTTGGGTGTCTCGGAGACATTATATAATTAAAAACTAAAATTATTTGGTAAAGTGTCTAACTGGGGGTAGTAGTTGACTCTAGTGTTTCTGAAAAATTAGTCGGAATTGGTGGAAACCCTATAAATACAATACAAAACTGAAACGACTAGTGTAAAATAGGCGTTATTATACCTGTGAATGTATAAAAGAATTCACCCGATAGATTCAGGAATATGTATACATAATACAATAGACCTAACAACCGCTACAGCGAGGCGTGATTGCTAATAAATGTCGTGTTGAATATATCCCATAATATCCAATAGGAATAATCACGAAATATGTCAACGTCTTCCCTTCCAGGCGATTATTTTCTTACGAATGGTGGTCGTTTAAAACTCTTCTGTAATTTGATAGCTCCATGCCAGTGGCTAGTCAGAATCACACTGGAGTGTCCGCGAATCGGTCAGCGAGACCAGCGCCCTCCGCCAATAACACATCGAGGCTCGTATGCATTCTCAGTGGCGTGGACACGAATTTTTACGAACATCTCGTCCACGACTAGTGCAATAAATCGTCCTGGTGAGAAAATGCCGCGGGTTCGACGGGCAAGCTCCCAGCTACGTTATCTGCGCGAGACCAGGACCGATTTATCCCGAGCGTCGGGGAACGAACGCGTTCGATCGTAACCTAATCGCGATGCAATTAACCAGCGGTTTCCAATTAGGCCCGTAACGGACAATCCGAGCTTCGGCTCGACGCGATATTATTGGTTAGGAACATCCCTGGTAACGTTCGTACGCGAACGCTGTCCGCGGATACGCCATTTTGAGATAGTTTCGACAATCTAGAGCTGACACCGACGCTCTGGTCAATTATGTATCTATCAGGGCGATAGTGAGAATCGTAATAACGCGAATGTACTGGTAGTCGGTCGTTTAAACGCTCGAGGGTGGTACTTTTGACCTCTAGATTCGATATTTCTTCTCGTTTCAAGACGTTTGCTGATTCAACCTTCCTAGAAACTTAGTTTTCGTCGATTAGCCTACAGTTTCGTATTTAACCTCTTACATGTGTCGTTGTTGGTCGGTTTCGTCGCTTTGGTGCTTAATTTGAATCACCAGCGCAATCGTGGAGCCTACAGTTTCGTATTTAACCCCTTACACGTGCCATTTTTGGTCGTTTTCGTCGCTTTAGTGCTCAATTTGAATTACCAACGCACCCATGGAGCCTATAGCCTCGCGCCATTGTTGTTTTCCTCACTTTGGCGCCAAATTTGAATACACGAACGTAACTACAGAGTCTAGGGTTCGAAATTAAAGGATGAATGACGTTGTAATTCACAGTTTGGCTACTCTTTGGGAACACTGTCTCGTCCGTGAGACCAGAGACGTCAAGGAACAAGGATCGAGGGATTGTGAGATCTCCGGTCGCGATAAGGATCGAGCCATTCGTTCGGAGGGCATGAATGGCACTTTGGCCAATTCTGGAAATGGAAAAGCACGGTACCTCGGGGCCGGGAAAACGCGAGTGCGTGCGAGAACGGACAGAGGGGAGGTAAAGAGCAGAGGGTCTGGCTCGAGGGTCCCCCTTGGATACGGACTTCCGGTGTTACCGATAACTATCGCCTCGCAGGGGTTCCTACCTGGCACGCTATGTTTGGTTTTCCGATAAGAGGGTGGGGGGGGGGGATCGGTGACTGGGCGCAAAATACGCGCGTGCTCCGTCGCGTGTCCGGGTCGCTCGGAACGTTTTTCGCAGATGACGTTCCCTCGTAAACCGATCCTAGAAGCTTTTTCGAGTGCAACGATGCCCGGAAGTGGAAATTTTATTGCACGAATCGGTGTACCTACGATGCTTCATTCAACCACGAACTTTCTAATTTTACGTGTTGATAAAAAATACTTGTGCTTTTACGTAAAGCAGTTGATAATTATAATGGAAGAGAATGGTATAGTTGGTCGCAAAAATAGTGGGGTGTAATTTCGAATTTGATGTATATACATGACTAGCAACAAAAATGTATTGTATATTGTTAGAATACAGTATACAGATCCACGATCAGTTGCATTGTATCTAAGAAATGATAGAAAAAGAACGAACACGTCGAATTTCCATTTCCGACATTTTGCTTCTTTTACGCGCGACTTTTAAACGCGACAGAACGCCTCCAGTTTGTTCTTTCGGTGTTCCAACGTGCTTTTTCGAACAGTTTGCGACCCAAGATGCTCGAGAAGCTTTAAAACTGAAAATGTTTCACCGATTCTTGGCTCTTGTGAGGTCTTTTGGGAGTCAAGTCGGTCGCGTCGCTCGCGATTTCTCGGCGCCATTGCGCGGACCAGCGGTCATCTTCCTAGCGTCGCGTCGTCGAATCCACGTTGCTAAATATTTTACTGATATACTATTCTTTTAACACGTTTGTTAAATACACTGAAATGAAGGAATTACTCGTCGAAATTAATGAAACGATGGGTTTTGCTTTCGGGGGGAAACTCGACGAATTTAAATTGTGTTGTGCAATGAAATACAGAGAGTTACGGAGAAAATGGGACTCTCTGCCTGGGAAAAAGGTCTGGGTTAGGTCTGAAGCGACCCAAACGGGGGGATCTTAGGTTACAAACGATGTTTAAGACAGATATACCTAATTACGACTCCTGGAAATTCAGGTAAACAGAAATGTACTGCTCGAGAAACTTCTTACACTCGAGAACTCTGTAATTATTAGCGAGTACGGTGGACTTATGCTCCTGGTATTTTCTGAAATTCCAATAATACTTATTAGCTACGAGCAATCGAGCCTTCGTACAGAGATTGAAATCTCTCTCAAGAATGGTGCAAAAGTGAATTATATCCACGATTAAATATGGCGGAAAATCGAAGCTTCCCCTATCAAAGGACTTAAATATTATAGAAACATTGATACACCTTTCTCGAGAAACGCATATCGTTATTCTATGAGAACCTAATTTTTGTTGCACATATACATAGCCCCGTATTTATAATAAAATAATTAGACACTTAAAAAGTTAAAACAAGGCTTCCCAAATCTGTCATGAAGCTAATTTCACATTTTCAAACAAACTGGAGTTGAATAAAAAATATTTTACTGATTTTAAATTAGAATTAACGCGTTCACTGTCCTGTTTTTTAGTGACGTATACAAAAGCATGAGGCTATGCCCCGTATACGGGTCATGGACAGTGAATGTGTTAACGTTGAAAATCCATGAGTTGGTGATACTTTATCGGTGAATAATCGTATGGATAGGTGTCAAAGGACGCCCAAAGGGGTTGGATGGACACGGAGGCCCAATATTAGAGAATTTGAACCGGGCTGGCGGTTGGAGTTTCGGGAACGGAACCGTGAGGATAAGAGAATAGGGAGAGAGCACTTTCCGGGTGTACTCACGCCCCGGGGACCATTGAACGTCCATTAGCGGGCCAGACGTGGAATGCGATTCTGGTGGCTGCTGGAACTGGAGTCGACCAGGCCGGAGAAAGAATGCCAGCGAACGGTCACCGACGAAAGCTCGCCGCCACTGATGGGGACCAATCCAGTGACATACTCATTAATCCAACCCAATCACCAGGCTCTGCTCACGTCTATCGAAACCCTCTCACGAACTTCTAGCTTCGTCCTCGGACGTGTCTACTATTTTACATTTTCTTACAACCTTCTTCTCTTCGTCGCTCTTGCTGGTTGCTTGAATTCTGTATTAACAGTATTAAAGATTGGCTGAAGATGGATTCTTCGTCTTTATTGTCTTCTTGAAGAGATCCTTATTTCAAAGGCTTCAATTTGATTGGCCTTTGATCCATTTTCAACGTCTCCAATTGACCTGATTCTTCTTGTATTCTTCGACTTATCTTCATAGACAAACAATTGCTCAGTTTAAACATTAAACGTTGGCTAAATATATGGTAAAGATGGATTCTTCGTCTTTATTGTCTTCTTAAAGAGATTCTTATTTCAAAGGCTTCAATTTGATTGGCCTTTGATCCATTTTCAACACCTCCAATTGACTTGGTTAGCTTTCACTTCATAGATAAACAATTGTTCAGTTAAAATATTAAACGTTGGCTGAATATGTGGTAAAGATGGATTCTTCGTCTCTGGTGTATTGTCGAGGAGGTCCTTATTTTAAAGTTTCCAATTTGTATGTACTTTGATCCATTTTCAACGCCTCCAATTGACTTGGTTAGTATCGAACGACTTTCACTTCATAGACAAACAATTGCTCAGTTAAAATATTAAACGTTGG